CCTTATCTCTGTGATCAGAGGACACTTTGCAGCCAACACTGCCATATTCCCCAGACACACAATTTTGTTCCCCATTCCATCAACAGTAAATACTGATTTAGCTGTGGGAAATGATTGCTCTGACCTAGAAGTATTTCTAGTGTTCACCTAGAAAGGAGGAACATTTGGAGACTTTATATTTAGCACCAGACTTGGCATGTTCCTTTGCAGAGAGATTCTAGGTGTCTCAGGCCAAATTTTTGCCAGCTATTTTATTATTAAAGTCTAGATCAGAAAGGCATTTCTCAAATAATAGGAAAAGTGCTCCTAGGGAAATTGCACTATTTCAGAAGATGAAGGTAAAGGCTTCAAGTCTTCAAAAAACATACTGATGTTGCAGGGCTGGAGAATCAGGTAAATTTTGATAGATACCTGTCATCAGAGTACCCACTGAGGTCTAACTTAGCATCTCAAAAATGGGACAATTCACTGTTAACTTACCATCTCACATAATTGGGGAATGGAGATGGTTAGCTAGTACCTAAGTGATCTTCCCTCTACTACAGATTCCCAAGAAGGACAACATAAAAGAAGTAATGCAGTGACATCTAAATTATTAAAATGATGCATACGACCCAAGTGTAGGCCTTGTCATATGAATACCAATGAATTTCATGCACATAACCCCAGGGCCATCATGTTTTCATTATTCCTACTTTCCTTATTATTGGCATTTATTATTACCTTATTTTAGCATGCATATCTCATTTGATTGTCAACTAATTTAAGTTCTATATTACATCAGGGTCATAGCTTGTTTAAAGCTGGGACTTGTAGCTACAAAGATCCTTTCAGATCATATGCTAAACGCAAAGATAGTACAATAGTACATAACTGTTGGACTATTTTTTTTAAAATCATTTGCTATATTTACTTAAACTCATTTTTATTTTTTTATAAATTTATTTATTTTTTAATTGAAGGATAATTGCTTTACAGAATTTTGTTGTTTTTCTGTCAAACCTCAGCATGAATCAGCCATAATTAACCTCATTGTTAAATCCCCTTCATCCAATATCAAAACAAATTAAAGCTGGCAATTGCAAGATTTATTAAACTGGTCTCACAGGAGACCTCTCTGTGTATAGTCTGAAAGTTCAAATATGATAGAGAAAAATAACTTGAGCAAACATAAATGATAATGTTTTAAAAAAGAATAAAAATGAAGAACTCCTCCTAACCTACATTTTAGGTGAATTTTAGAAACTGATAGTTTTTTTATTAAAGTAAATGAGCATTCATAAGACCCCAGAACACAGCTTCACAGCCAAGCAGAAATAACCAGTGCCTGATGCTGATACTTTTGACAGAATTGGAGCAAAAGAAGTAAATAATTTCCTTTATTCTTAATTCTTATTGGAGATCATCTAGAAAACTCCTAGCTTTGGGGTTGGCGATATTTAATCTGTTTGCTAGGTTTATTTCAGACAAGAAGTCAGCCAGAGTAAAATAACATGTATGCCAGCAAGAGCAATTTTATTTGAAAATCTGCAGAAACAAAAATAACTTATCTCTATGGTATTTTAAACTGTAACATTAAGTGATAATGTGTGTGACATCCGAACATCTGAAACGATACAGTTCTTTGCAAGTTAAATGCCAGCGCTTCGTTTAGACAGTAAATCAGCCAGCTGTCAGGGACTTCCTGCAACCACAGCAAATGTTCCAGCACTCCGGACAGGATTAGTTTTATGCTGCCGACAGAAGGGTCTGCCCGTAGACATTCTCACAAGCAGTCAGGTTTCTATTCTATTAGTAGTCAGCGTTTGGATGATTTTTGGCCTAAAAAAAAGGCAATTTCATAGGGTTCAACCTAGTATTTCATAAATGTCAACCTTTAAAGTGTTTTTTTGGAATGAAAGGAGGAGTTTCTCAATTTCCTCTTCTTGATGATGGATTGTCACTGTCCAATCTCTGGCTGCTTGGTTGTTTTTCCTTAAGATTATATAACTGGTTAGATACATTGAAATATACCTCATGGCTTCTTGGTGTTAATGCTGGATATCAGCCCTACTCCAAGGAGAGACAAAAAAGTGAGCAGGGATGGCTCCCTCTACTGGTTGAAGATAAGAGTCCTCAGATAAGCAGCCATCTAGGCGGGCTGTAAAAAGGTCAGAGAAAAGAGTTGTTGAGTTCAGTCGCTCAGTCGTGTCCGACTCTTTGCGACCCCATGGACCGCAGCACCCCAGGCCTCCCTGTCCATCGCCAACTCCTGGAGTTTACTCAAACTCATGTCCATTGAGTCGGTGGTGCCAGAGGGAGGGGAAGAAAAACAGACAGAAAGAGGGGCAATGAAGTGGGCGGGAAGTCAACAGAGGAAAAAAGATGGAGAAGGAAAGAGGAGGAGAGAGCTGGTGAAACCAGAGAGAAAGAAAATTAAATAGAAAAATCAACAAGAAATGGGCCAATAAGGATTAGAAACAAAGGTAAAAAAGGCAGAGGTGTAAGGACATTTTTTCATGGATCATCTTCACAGTAACCCTGAAAATATTGGCCATTTTCTCCCTTGAAGTTCTCATACAGGAATTACAACCATGAAAGTTTATCAGCCCATTCTCCTTGGGATTCTGGCAGTGTGTACCATGAGGAAAAGGCTGGACTTTTTCTTTCTTAAATCAGGTATCCCCTAGTCATCGAGTTTCTTCTAAGAAGATGCTCAAAACATGCAAAGTTAATATCATGAGAATTATGAATTCCACTGGGGACAAGCATTACGCTCTCCTTGGTTGGAACCCACGTTAGTACCCTATTACATGCCGATAGGAAATTTATATGGACAGTATCCTATGGAAGAAAGCCTGGTCCCTGGGCACCCCCAAATGGGAATTGGTCTTCTAAACAGAAGTCAGTTTGAATGTGGCAAACGGTTTTCAAAGTCATGGGTTACAGCAGGATTTAGACACTTAGGTTCAAGCAGGTCCCAGCAATGAGAGTGTGTGTGCTTACTGATAGAAGCTGGCCACAAGGGAACTGGGGGAGTATAAAAAACAAAAACAAAAACCACAGCTCAGTTAATGGTTCCTGAAGCTGATGAAAACTTAGCAGTAAGGAATTTTCAGGCTTTTACAAATAGTGTGATCAGGCCCTCAGGGGCTTCTGTTGCCCCTGTATTTTTCTTTTTCTGTGTGTGGCACAATACACATACATAAAATGTGCCCTTTTAACCATGTTTAGGTGTGCGATTCAATGGCATTAAGCACATTCACATTGTTATCCAACCCTCCCTACCATTCATCTCCAGAACGCTTTTCTTCTTGCAAAGCAACACTCAATACATCAAAGGGAAACTCCCCGACCCTTCCCCTGCAGACCCCAGAAGCCCCCATCCTACTAGACTCCTCAAGGTGACGCCTATAAGTGGATTCATACGGTAGTTTTCCTTTGTGTCTGGCTTATGTCACTGAGGGTGATGTCTTCAAGGTTCATCCACGTCACACTATGTGTTGGAATGTCCTTCCTTTTTACAGCTGAAGAATATTCCATGTCTGCATCAGTCAGTCAGTCAGATCAGTCACTCAGTTGTGTCCAACTCTGTGACCCCATGGACTGAAGCACTCCAGGCTTCCCTGTCCATCGCCAACTCCCGGAGCTTACTCAAACTCATATCCATCGAATTGGTGATGCCATCCAACCATCTCATCCTCTGTCGTCCCCTTCTCCTCCTGCCCTCCATCTTTCCCAGCATTAGGGTCTTTTCCAATGAGTCAGTTCTTCGCATCAGGTAGCCAAAGTATTGCAATTTCAGCATCAGTCCTTCCTGTGAACATTCAGGACTGATTTCCTTTAGGATTGACTGGTTGGATCTCCTTGCAGTCTAAGGGACTCTCAAGAGTATTCTCCAACACCACAGTTCAAAAGCATCAGTTCTTCAGCACTCAGCTTTATAGTCCAACTCATACATGACTATTGGAAAAACCATAACTTTGACTAGACGGACCTTTGTTGGCAAAGTAATGTCTCTCCTTTTTAATACACTGTCTAGGTTGGTGATAGCTTTTCTTCCAAGGAGCAAGCATCTTTTCTTTTCATGGCTGCAGTCACTATCTGCAGTGATTTCGGAGCCCCCCCAAAATAAAGTTTCACTGTTTCCACTGTTTCCCTATCTATTTGCCATGAAGTGATGGGACCAGAAGCCATGATCTTAGTTTTCTGAATGTTGAGCTTTAAGCCAACTTTTTCATTCTCCCCTTTCACTTTCATCATGTCTGCATAGACCACATCTTGTTTATCCTTTCTCCTGTTGATGGACACTTAACTTCTACCTTTTGGCTATTGTGAATAATGCTGCTGGGATCATGGGTGTACAGGCCCCGGGGACAGGGGGGGTTGTTGTTTGGTTTTTTGGTTTTTTTTTTTTACTGTTGTGTTTTTTGTTTTTTTGCTGTTGTGTTTTGGTGGGGTTTTTTGTTTTGTTTTGTTTTGTTTTGCTGTGCTGGGGTTTAGTTGCAGCATGTCATATCTAGTTCCCTGACCAGGGATAGAACCTAGGTCCCCCTGCATTGTGAGCAAGCACAGAGTCTTAACCACTGGACCAGAAGGGAAGTCCCAGGGGCCTGTATTTGTAAAACAATGTGGGTAAACCGTGGTTTTCAGCATAGGAGCCGCATGGACCTCAGCCCACTGGCAGATGCCAAAGCCTGTGCTTCTGTCCCCGGGGTTGTTTTTAAGTTAGGGCCTGCCTGCAAACAGGGACCGGAGCATCCAGCCGGCGGCGGCTGGGACCCTCCACCCCAGGTCTCCGTGGGTGACTGTTAGTTTGAGCGGCTATTCCGATTCCAGGAGTCTCCACGTGGAGCCGGGCTGCTGCGCACGCTCTCCGCCTGTCTGACCCAGATGTCACTAACGGGTTTCTCTCTCTCTCGCATCCCGCCCCCTCCTGCCCTCTGTGTCCCCTTCCCCCTCCACCCCCACCCCCTTGCCATCTCTCGCCTCCTCTTTGCTGGCTCCCTGCCGCTCTCCAGTGCGACCAAGACCAGTGCATTCAGAGCACCAAATTCGTTTTGCAGGCCGCGGCCACGCCCCTGCTGCAGAGCGAGCCCAGCCTCACCAGCGACGAGCTGCACCTGCCCGGAAAGCCGGGCCTGGGCACGCCCTGCGCCAGCCTGACGCTCGGGCCGCCCACGCCGCCCTCCTCCATGCCCAACCTCGCCGCCGAGGCCGCGCTCACAGACATCCTGCCCCTGAAAGACGAGCACGTGGCCCACCAGTTCCTGACCCCGGACGAGGCGCCTTCGCCGCCCACGATGCTGGCGGGCAGCCCGCTGGCTCACAGCCGCACCATGCACGTGCTGGGCCTAGCCAGCCAGGACTCCCTGCACGAGGACTCGGTGCGCGGCCTGGTGAAGCTCAGCTCCGTGTGATCGCCGGGCCCCGGCCCGCCCAGGGGGTGCTGCCCACCGTGGGAGCGGCAGGCCCGGCGCCCTCACCGCAATCCCCCGCCGTGTGACCCAGTGCGCGGGTGGCCGGCGCAGCTGTAATCCCTGGGGTAGGAAGACCCCTCCTTGGGAGAGAAATCAGGGGGCCCAGGCGGACAGGACCTCAAAGGCTGACAGCTTGGTTTCATTTGAATTTTCTTCCCCACCCTGACCGGCTTTGCTAACAATGAAAATAGAGACCTGACTATTTTCAGGTGTTTGGAATATGAAGGGTGGGCCGTCGGGGAGGGAGACAGCCTCGGGAGCTCCCCCCACCTCCACCCCCAGCAGAGTCTGGGAGGAGAGGGGGCCCCCTGGGGGGCTCCTCTTGCTGCTCTGGACCAGGTAACAGAAGGTTTGGGACCCCTGTGCCCGGACTGAGGTTGAACTTAAGTGTTATGCTACTAATATCTGAAATAGACATGCCATTCCATTTGTTAATTTTAAAAAGGGAAAAAAACCGACCAGATGTGGACTGCATGCCACGCTCCAGTCTGTGCTCGGTGGTGATGGTATTGGAAAGGAACTGCTGCTGCTTTTCTTTCTTCTTTTTTTTTTTTTTAAATTTCGTGAATTCTCAAGTGCTGTTTTATGGGAAGACGGTGCAACAGACCAAGGCTAATGGACCTTGCCATCCTCGCCAGCTTCTTCAGCTTAATTCTACATGAGTAGGTGGCGCCTGGGCTGCGGAGGGGCGGGTTTTATCCTATCCAGTATCAGTTAACCTTCTGTTTAGTAGTTAACCTGAGGTGTGGTGTTGCACACACCCACCGCCGCAATCTTCACCTCCTTGTGTGACCAAATTCCTGTGGACAGCCAATAAAATGACATCCTCTGTTACTTTGGATCTGTGCACAGTTATCCTTCTCAGCTGACATGACACCTCCACCACCCAGATGGCCTGCAGAGTGCGGTTTTACTGAAGCAGTTCTAGTGAGGAATGGTCCCCAGTCAAAAAACCAGCTCTTTGAATTGCGGGGGATTCATGGGATGATGGGGCTTCCCTGGTGGCTCAGATGGTAAAGAATCTGCCTGCGATGCGGGAGACCCGGGTTTGATCCCCGGGTTGAGAAGATCCCCTGGAGGAGGAAATGGCAACCCACTCCAGTATTCTTGCCTGGAGAATTTCATGGACAGAGGAGCCTGGCGGGCTACAGTCCTTGGGGTCACAAAGAGTTGGACACGACTGAGTGACTGAGCAGCGGAATTTGCCCCCCTTTTACAGGTTGGACCACGATAGCAGATCTGTGGCCAGTTATGGGGAGAGGGCCCAGAGAGAAGCTGGGCTGGGGCGTCTGCTCTGCCCTGGGCTGTGTCTGCGTGGCGCCAGAGCTCAGGGTAACTTGAGATCCTGGTAAAGCTGTCAACAGGGAGGAGAAACTGGCTTATTTTAGGCGGGGATCATGTCGACTGTCATTCTCATTCAGACACTAATCAGAATGGAATTAGGAAAATTACTGCTTCATTCAGGTTTGTGTATCATCTAGAAGGGAATGCACCAGCTCTGCATTTAGGAGGGAAGCCACCTTGCAGGGACTAAACCCCCTTCTGTCCTTTCCAGATGATAAACCCAACGAGCAAACCTACTCGAGTTCAAAGTCGTGCTCTTGCTCCTCACAGCCGTATGAAAGCAGGATGCACTGATCAGTGATACCAGAAGCCCTGGATGATTTGCATTGATGGAAAAGGGCTGTTTCTCCTGAGAAAGAGTTGCCCTTTTATAGAAGAAAAACGGGAAAGAGGAAAGAAATAGAGAAGCACAATTTCAAGTCTTCTTTGGAATAAGGTCATTTGTTCATAGGTAAAAAAAATAATTATGCTGAAAATAGCTGCAGCCAGTGAGTTCCCTTCTAGATGATACATGAGCCCGAATGAAGCAGTAATTTTCTGCAGCGAATCTTTGAACCATTCTTATGTTTCATACTCCGTACATGAATAGAAAGTGGGAAAGGTAAATTATGTGCGGCCATTTTTTATTTTCTGGGCCTCTTCACAACTTGTACCCACTTGGAATTTATGCTCACAGGGACAGAGTCCTTCCTTACACAGCCACACACACCCACTGTCATCAACACACACAAAATTCTCCTTGCAGACGCTGCTTGTGAGCAAGAAGTGACTGCCCGTCAATGTGTCTTCCTTGACTTCCCAAATTCTCTCTGTTCTTTGCCTCCTTCCGTCTGCTCACCAGAGACCCAGGAGAGAGTTGGACCTGGTGAGAAGAGAAAGGTGGCTCAGTTCTCACTGCTTCCTGTGTGGACAAGTCCATTCCCGGCTTCTTCACCTGGAGGAAAAGACAATGGCCTCTCCATCTCTAACATCCTGTGATTCAATGATCGCAATTTCCCATGACCAGTCCTCTTCCCGCGTCACTGGGAAAAAGTCCACGGAGCAAGGATCCTTACTCACTTTTCTCTACATAAGGCATGTTTGCTTAATATTTAATGTCAATCCCACCTTCAAGCCCATCCCCTGTACACACTGATATCGCTTATCAAAGAGGGGATTGGAGGTATTGGTGACACCCATCTAGGAGCTTCAGGGGTGAGGAGGAAGATGAACTTGAATGGGCCGATTTGCTAAGACAATTAACCTCTTAAAACCCCCAAACCAGAGGGACACCGGTAGTCCTTCACTCTGTGGCTTGAAAAAGAATGGAGTGTCTGCAGGTTGAACAACTGCGCTCCCAGGAGCTGCCTTCTTCCTAGTGGGTGGAGGGTTGATCTTTAGCAGACTGATTTCCCCAGTGATGGGTCTGCATTTCCCATCACCTGATTGCATATAAATCTATTTAATATTGAGTAGTTCCATCTAGTTGTGGCTGAATAGACCTTGATCTTTCTACATTCTGTCAGTGGGTTATGGATTGATTGCACACTAGCTATAAAATATAGGATAAATATTTTACCATGCTATTAAAGCTTGGACCGTTCTCAAACACACTCACGTACACACTCATTTTGTTGTTTAAAAATTCATCTGCTTCCATCCTTCCAGGAGGGCTCGGGTGCTTCAAGCTTCTCAGGCATGTGAAGGCTGGATTTAGCCTGAACGCCCTGGTTCCCAGGAAGGCTGTGGGATGGAATACCAGAGCAGCTAATAGCCTGCAACTGAAAGGGCATGGTGACCTGTCACTGTGCCTGGGGAGAGTCAGCTCAGCGTTTGTGCTGTGCTCACTCAAAAATGCTCATTCTAGCTTTCAGGTTTAATCATTTCAGCCTGTGACAAGGATGCACAGTCTCACCCTGAGCCAGCAAAAATGCCAAATACCTGTTCTGGTCCGGAGTAGCACCAAGGAAGGATGTTCTCGGAGCTCTTCCCAGCTCCGCCAAGTGCACTCCGATCTTCCCCTACTGTGTTTAGGATGCTGACTGGGGTTCAAAACGAGAAACAAACCCCATATTAGGAGCCAGGTTCTAGTAAACCCCTATATTAGGAGACCTGAGTGGGTCAAGCCCTTTCTGTGGCTTTGAAAGCCCCTTAACTCTTCATGCCCTGATTCAACCCCAAGAAAAATGGGTTTGCCAACACTAGCAGTGGTGTTCTTGATGCTGAGGCTTGTGACGGCATCTCCAGGGACGTACTGGAACTCAAGCTACTTGGGGTCCCTGGCACAGCCTTTTGGGGGTGCAGAGCTGGTGACCAGCCCCTCTATGAGTCTCAGAGCCTCCCAGCCCCCCACCCCACAAATGATTCTCTGTAACATTACTGCCCTGTTCTAGAGCTCAGCCCACAAAGCACCCTCTTCACCTGGAACCCTGTGTTTCTCTGCCTTGGCTTACAGTTTTTTAAGTTAACTGAAAGGCATCAGGGGTTTGGGCTAATAGTATACAGAATATTTCCAAAGTTAGTTGCCTTTCATTTATCCACACTGGTTAGCCCACTTAGTTCTTGATCAGGTAAGAGATAGAGGATAAAGGGAATAAATGTTAAATATACTTTTCTGATTAATGCCTTACCACTGTTTTGAAGCTGAGCCTAAATCAAATCAATGTTTACATTTTTTATTAAGTACCTATGTGTCTTGCATGTGTCAAATGAGAGAGCCTTTCAAATGAATTCTTAATCCTTCTGGTCCCTGCATCTGCCCTGGAGACATGCATGTGTCATTGAATGTTGTTTTCCATGTTACCTCGTTAAAAAAGAAAAAAAACAACTGCCTCTCATTTGTTCCCTTGAAATGTCTCGCTCTGTCTTACAAGATTAAGTTATCATTGAAATATTAAATAAGCTGAAGCGCCGTTTTCTTGCAAATAAATGTCAAAGATGCTAACAGTTTCGTAAATCGGTAAATCCTGTCTACTTGCCCTTTGTATGTGGTCCTGATAATACAGCCAAGATGGATTTTCAATTCAAGTAGTTAGTACATTAATCCAGCCATTCAAAATAATAGGGAGGTCAGAGATTGGATTGTTTTTGGAGCAACCGAATTTGTAGCTGCCACAAAACTAGATAAATGGCCTCCACTGAAATTATTTTTTCAATCCTATAAACACCAGGAATTACATACAGAATGGACTGGAAATGAGCATCTTGTGCTAATGCAAAGACTTTTCCTCCATCAATTGCTGACTTTTAAAAAAGATTCTTGGTATTGCCTATGAAGATGTAAATGAAAAACTCTAAGTGCCCTTGGTCTTTTAAAACGGATTGTTAAACCAAGAGGCTGTATGGCCTATCCAGAGACCTGTTTTCTAGGTTTACATGAATGGAGATAGTTTTAGCCTGCAGCTAAAAAAAGAAAAGAAAAATGTTGAAGCCTTGCTGACTGTTTGTCCAGGGCATCCTGGGTTAGTATTTCACAATAGTCAAACATTTTGACATAGAAGGGGAAGAAAGCATTTTAAATTTAAGCCCTAACGATGGTGAACACAACATATTACATAACAACACATGTTTTCAGAGAAATTATGCTTATTTATGCCTTTCATGTTTTAATCAGTGTTTGCAGAATTGATCTTAAATCTGAAATGAAGTATTTTCCTCCTTTAATAAAAAATGCTAATGGTATAAAATATAAACCTCAGTGTTCATAGGCTAGACACTGGGTAATTCAAAAGGTATACAGGGGCTTCCTTAGTGGCTCAGTGGTAAAGAATGCACCTACCAATTCAGGAGACGCAGGTTTGATCCCTGATCTAGGAAGATCCCCCATGCCATGGAGCAGCTACGCCCATGCACCACCACAGTTGAGCCTGTGCTCTAGAGCCCAGGAGCTGTGACTGCCGAAACCTGTGGGTCCTGTGGGTCGTGCTCTGCAACAAGAGAAGCCACTGCAATGAGAAGCCCATGCACCGTAACTAGAGAAAAGCCCCGGCAGCAACAGAGACCCAGCATAGTCAAAAATAAATAAATAGAACGATATTCTTTAAAAAGTATACAGGAGAGAATTGACTTGCAGTACTGAATTTGCCCTGTGGAGATATCCATCTGGATAATAATGCGGTTTTCTGATCATGGATATCCAGACTGGTTTCTTACTGCTTTAATTCTTAACTTTTTATGTTTACTAATGACTTTAGAGCGTCCTTGGTGGCTCTGATGGTAAAGAAGTGGGAAGTGGAATTGTTAGTCGCTCAGTCATGTCCAATTCTATGTAACCCCATGGGACACAGGCCGCCAAGCTCCTCTGTCCATGGGAGTCTCCAGGCAAGAATACTGGAGTGGGTTGCCATGCCCTTCTCCAGGGCATCTTCCCGACCCAGGAATCGAACCCGCATCTCTTATGTCTCCTGCATTGGCAGGCAGATTCTTTACCATTGGCACCACCTGGGAAGCCCTGCCTGTGATGCAGGAGACTTTAGAACAACCAGAACTTCAAAACCCCTTAATCCACTTGTTCTGTGTTCCACTTTCTAACACACAGACACACACACCAACATCCAATCTCACCATATAGGAATCATATTCGGCTACTAGGAACAACCCCCTCCGCCAAAAAGCAAACAGTAGCTTAGACAAAAGGATGTCTTCCCCGTCATGCAAAGTAAGTCCAGACAGGCAATCCAGAGAGTGTTGGCTCCACAAGGTCATCAATGTCCAGACTTCTTTCTCTTTCTGTCTTGCCATTCCTAGCACTGGCTTTCATCCTCCAGGTCACTTCATGGTCACAGAATCTCTGCTGCAGCTCCAGCCTTCAATGCTGGGAAGGAGAGAGCGGGAGGAGTAAAACGGACACATGAGACTTTAGATGGCTCCCTTTAGAGAACTTTACTAGAAACTCACTCTGATTTCTTCATAACCAAAATTGAGTCAAATGACCACCCCTGGGTGCAAGGGAGGCTGGGGAACATGGTGTTTCAGCAGGGCACATTGCTGTCCCAAATAATATCGGGGTACTGTTAGTATGGAAGAAGGTGAAATGAATATTTGCCAAATAACCACAATAGATAACTTCACCTCCTTATGAGCTCTCTCAACCCTTCTCTTCTCCACCAAAAAAAAAAAAAAAAGCTCTGTCTTCATCCAATTTGCTCTCCCTTTAGAAAGTTCCTATTTCCTAAAGTAGGCTTGACCCATCTCTCCCATGACCTCTAGGATCCAGGCCCTTCTGTCTTGCATCTTCAATTTTTGTTTTTCCATCAGTTGCTTTTTCTATGCCATCAAATAATCTCCTTAAAACAAAAATCATCTCCTTTTTAAAACAAACAAAAGCACCCAAGAAGCTCTTCCTTGTCCCTCATCCCCAGTTTCCCTGCCCGGCACGTTTCTGGGATGGTCTCTCCGGGGTCTCCAGGGGTCAAATCCAGTGGCCTCAGTCTGCGTTCTTCTCTAACACCTCAGAGGCCCCTGAACTGTGGTGCGGCCACCAGTGGGATGAACTGCAGGAGAAAGGCAGGCACACGGGGTGGGGGTGGGGGGAGCCTGAGGGTCCTTCTCTCACAAGCTCTCTGTGCTTTCCTAAGGGGCTCCCGCCCTGTGGCTTGGGATAGCCAAGCCAAAGCCAGCAGGACTGTCTTTATTTCCGTTGGCATCTCCTTGCTCTCTGCTTTCTTCGCGTGTCCGCTACATGAGGACACATGGCAAGGCTTGGTCCTTGCCCTCTGCCCTTTGCTCTTCCCCTTTCATCCCCCTGCAAAACCTTCCCTACTCCCATACCTTCTACTCTCACCTCTCCTGTGGATCGAACTCCTCATCTCCTTCTCACCTCCTCAAGCACTAGCCCCACATCTGACAGCTGCCTGGTCCGAGGAAGAGATTCAGAACCCAGGATTCTGGCTCCAGCTTGTCTACAACATGCTCTGTAACCTTGGGCAAGGGTGAGAGTCTCCGTTCCCAGCTTCTGTGCCTGTAAATGGGCTGCTTCTGGGGTCACCGTATCACTACTGGCTCAGTGTCCTCTTAATGTCCCATCATCACCCCAAACCCAGCATGCCTAAGATTGAATTCAACATCCTTGCCCCAAACCAGTGCTCATCTTAGTTGCTGCCTCCCCTAGTGGGGTCCTAGGCTGAAGACTAGAGTGAGTGGCCTTTGAGCCTTCTTCTTCAACCAGTCAGGTATCAAGTCCTGTTGGCTCTTCCTTTGCAGCATCCATCAAAAAAAATTTTTTTCCCCACTGCATTGCTACCTTTGCTGACTACCTCCAGAATGTGGTGATGGCTGCCAAGTTTTCCTCCTCTTAAATCTTTTCCTATGCTTGTCCATCCCATACAACCCAGGGAAATTAATCTTCCCAAGGCATGTGTCAGATCTCAGGTGTAAGATTATCAAGACTTTTCTTGTCCATATGCTGCCTTGAACTCTGTTATCTAGCCCCAATTGCTATTCCTGCCTACTGTCCCTGTCTTCCTGGGCATCCCTCTCTGACCACCCGGCCTCTTCCTCTTCTAGCAGGACCCATGTGCTCCCCACCTTCTCTCTGCTCCCCCTGAATCTCTCCTCTTCCCTCACTCCTTCCTAACTTTCAAGGCTGTGCTCAGGGACCAACATCTCCATGAGATATCTGGCAGTTGGAGGGACCCCCTGTATTCCTAAATTCCTCTATATTCCTCAAATACTGGATCTGTCACATATTTTCTTTAATTGAGATACAATTCACATATCATGAATTCATCCTTTAACAATGAACATGCAGTGTTTTCAAGTATACTTGGAAGCACATTTGCCACCATGACCACGAATTCCAAATTTCCATCACATATTTGATCCTCCTTCCAGACCTCCTGGTATTTCTATTTTCACGTGAATGTCCTCTCTCCCCATAAAA